CCAGCTGCCCGTGGGCTCGGGCAGGGCCTTCGTGCTGCTCGCCTGGCTCACGGTGACCGTCCCCAGATCCGCCCTCTGTCCGCCATCTGGCTGCCTGCCCGGAGCACATGACCGATGCTCACCAGCATCGCCGGACGTTAGCGTGTCAACTAGCAGGACCGACCCCTTCAGCATCCGGGGAGCTGGCACCTAGGTCTGGGTGGCCCTCTCAGATGCGTGCATATGTGTGTGTGTGTGTGTCTGTTTGCACGTGCCACGCAGGTGACACGGGGACGATGCTGCATCTCACCTGAGGGCCGACCACGCCTGGGGGTCCTGGGGGGCCGGTCTTGCCTTGGAAACCCTGTGAAGAGAGAGTCGCACGCTGAGACGCCGCAGCGGCCCATACCCCGCCCCCCGCCTGCGTGTTCCCACGGGGGCTCGTCCCCCACCCGGTCCCATCCCCACGTGTCCCCATTTCATTCGAGGGGACCCGTTTCTCTGGTTCCGCCTTTGCATGGATTCACGAAGGCAATGAAGCCAGCCAGACCCGGCAGTTTCACTGGCTGCTCCCATCGCTACGCTTTTGTGCCGAGAAATGGATTTTAAAACCATTCATCTTCTCCGGCCGGCGCGGCCCCGTGGGTGAGCGTGGACCATGCACCAAGGGGCTGTGGTTCGATTCCCCGTCAGGGCACAGGCCCGGGTTGTGGGCTTGATCCCCAGGGCAGGGCGTGCGGGAGGCAGCTGATCCATGATTCTCTCTCATCATTGATGTTTCTCTCTCTTTCTCCCTCTCCCTTCCTCTCTGAGATCCATAAAAATATATTTTTAAAAAACTGTTCATCTTTATAACGTCACTAGGTGTGTCATTTTCTGAGCAGGTCTGATGCCGTTTCCAGCGTCCAGAGCTGGACTGGGCGCTACCGCTGGGCTGCGCCTCGTTACTGACTCCACGGAGACCGTCCTGCTCACATCACGAGCGCCTCTGATGCGGGACGGGGACGGGGGTTACAGCCGCCCCCCGCATGTCCTAACCCAGGAGCGCGCACGGCTGCTTTCCTAACGCGGCGTTTGCGTGTCAGCAGCTCAAGTCCCCGGGACCCCCCTGTCTGCTCTGTACACTGGCACGTACGCAACGACCCGCTTTAACGCCTCGGGGCTCCCTGCGAGGAGGGCCCGCGGGCAGGCACTGGCGATGCCAC